TTGATTCTGTCCCCATATTTAGTTTCTCATGTCAGTTTAATTGTGCTGCTTCATATACATGAAAATTATTAGACTGATGTTGCTAAGAAGAATTTTTCCACTCCATTTTATAGCCTAGAGTTTAGGAATTGATTAGTTGACTCTTCCACCTATGAAGGAAGCTGTAATATCACTGCCTAGTTGGAATGAAAGCATTTTCAGCTTGTAGTGTACTTCTTCTGAAAATTTGTAGAAAACTACAAACGGGTGTATAAAAGGCAGCTATCAAGGTTATCACCCTTAGGATAAGGATATCATGCCTCAAGATAGTTATACAGAAAACAACTCATAAATTTTCCAGTCCACATGCAGACTGAAAGGTGGCAGCAAGTCCTATCTCAAGATTACCCAAACCTTCCATTGTCAAATGTTTCTACATTGTTTGCAGCAGAAATATGACAATAATTTGGGATAGTATGACTTCCCAATAAATTTTAAGCCATATTGTAAGCACTTAAAAAAATAATTTTCGTACATTTTACTTTTGAAAAATTTCAGCTCATTTTTACTTAGTAGGGAGGTTTAATGAGATGAAAAAGATTAAAGGATTACAGGAATTTACACGCAATTTTTCCATTGTTTAAAGTAAAAAAATATTAAAAGCAGAATATTTTGTATTGTCCTTTTTAATAATGGCAAAATTATATATATTTACCTGACATATAAAATGTCTCATTATTAAGTTAATAAATAGGGGCAGTGTGGGTTGTATTTTTTAGGCATATGGAAGCGGTGCAAGAGCTATTTAGGTAACTCAGTAGGTTAAAACAATTACAATACACTTCATAAATCACAAGCAAACAAGATATTTTAGGGAAGCAGCGTGACGGATGAGGTCACCAGATATACAATATGTCATTTAGTTAACTTAAGCCCATATTTTTTCCATAATGTAGACGAACTCATTAGTTACAATGAAAAACAGTAAGAAGGAGGCATCTGGCTTCCAACTGCCTGTTTCTGACAGGGTTAAGATCACTAGATCTAGTAATGTTTCTGCTTTGTCTACTGACATAGCCTTGTACTGTAGAAAACTGATGAGGTTTGCTGAAAATTTAGAGGCTTACTGTCACAGTGTTATAACAGACAGATGCAATCAGTTGTGTTTTTGCTTCTGTTCATGTTTATCATTTTGATAAGTCGCTTTAAATATTTAGGATTTTTATAAAAGCATACACATTTATGGTTTAAGATTTTCTAAATCACTTTATGGAGCAGTATTCTTCATTCCTGAAATCTGAAGGCAGCAGGAGTGCTGGGACATGTTATAAAAGAATATAAAACAGAACTTATGGATATGCAGTGTTGTAACTAAAATTGGTTGGTTTTGTGACCTATGCTAAGAAGTTTATCATTTACCTAAATAGTACTAATAATAATGCTGATCAAGAAGGTCTAATAATACATCTTTTCAGCCATATTTATCTGGATTTCACATATCCTAATTTGCTATATTCTTATTTGAAAGCCAGTTATAAAGAATTTTATCTGTTCTGAGTTTATTATCCTTTGATTCATAGAAAGTAAATTGGACCTTTTAAACCTTTATTCATTTAGCTTGCTTGATGTTTTAAAAATGAGTTCTAATGCATTGGACTTCGGTAGCTTTTAGAGATTGTTATTCACAGTGATAAATCAAACTAAGCTTAACTGGCTTAATGCAGCATATTCATATTAGGTGTTGGAGACATGATAAGAAAAGTAAAGATACAAATCTGATTTCTGTAGAAATCAAGTATTTATAAGCTTATCTGAATTTAGAATAATTCCCTTCAAATTTTTTTCCCAAAATAATTTTAATTAGTATTATGTATGTCATATTTAAATTCTACATGCAAAAATTTAATTTTACTTCTATTTTTAGCTTCTAATGATGCAGGCCTCTAGGCATTTTATTCTTATTTGGGAACAAAGGATTACAGGGCACCTGCTGAGTAATTAACTGTAGTCCTATTTCTAGCATCTCAAAATTAGTTCCATTTTTTGAACTTGCTACTCTGACTGGAAAACTATTCCATAATCCTAATTATATATGGATGACTGTCGCTTCCCAAACTTTTTTTTTTGTTATTCCTGGCAAGTTTTCACTCAATTATTCTCATTCCAACTCTTCCATTTAGCTTAAATTCCTTTTTTTTTTGAGTTTTCGCCCTGAAAATACATATGATAGCTGTCATAAAACCCTTCAGTATTAGTTTGGCCAGACTATGTCAGTCAAACTCTTTTTCTGCAGTAGTAGATTGGTATGTATCTCCATAGCGGCACTTCCATCTTTCTCAATTATAACAGCATACACAGTATTCCATAGTGAATCCTGCCAAAGCCTTCTCTAATGCCATTAATAATGCCATTCGGTCATTTACAGAAGATGAATTCCAGTTATAACGCGAATCTCTGTATTCTTCACTAGATGCATAGCTTTTCACCAGTAAATGTTATCTGTAGTTCTGCCATAATGCTTGCTTATAATCATCCTTCTTTGACCATCAATTGTGCCTTGTAACTTTGTCGTCAGCAAATTTCAGCCAAATATTTTCAACTGGAATCTTTATTAAAATTTTGAACAAGATAGATCCCATGGTAGTTTCTCTCAATCTGATGGGGTTTTTTGACTTTTAGAACTGAGTGATGACTCCTTCTTAGCCAGTTGCTTTCCCCATATTTTATGAATTCCCAGGTTCTCATGACTAAATTAGATTCTGTTGTGACCAGCCCAGCTTTACTGAATTTACTATATTGACCCTTATTTTCTTTGAGCAATAAATATTTAAAAAGCTCGTTTTACAAAGTCATTTTGTAGTCTGTCTCATTCCATTCCATTACTATTCTTTACTCCAAAATAAATCCCGAAGTCTTACTTACTCTTGAATGTTGCAGTTGTCCAGATAATTTTTTTCCTATTTCTAAAAAAAGAGAAACCATGTGTGATTTTCTCCATTCATATGTCACTGTCTCCATTTCCCTGTTTGGCAAAAGTGCCTGCTACTAAACCAGTAATATCATGGACTGTTTCTTTCAAAAATGGCTTGGAGTCAGTTCATTGCTATGATTTTAATGTATTAAAATCTTTCTTCTGGTTTAGATAAGGTATTTGACTTTCCACAACTGTATTTCTATTATATTTCCTGTCTTTAGTTTTCTTTTCAGTGCTGTTGACCTTAATGAAAATTGAGGTTAGGTGTAACCTAACTTCACTATGTAGTGGACTATTGTCTTTTTTCAGTGCCCTCTTTCCATTTACATAATAATGGAGCCTTATGCCATTTTATTTACCATACATTTCATGGGCAACAACCTGCCTGACTGGCAGTCCAGTTCTGATCTTCCCTTCAGTTGAGAAGTGTTGTCTTTACATGGATGAAGTTTAAATAGACAGGCAGAAAATTCATTAGGATCGTTCTGTGGATCAGATGTCCTTCTGTGCCAAATATAGGCAGTACTAAGTAGATACGAATCTTTTTACTTCCTGACCTGGCAGATGCTAAATGCATTTGATGCAGCTCATAAATCCAGTTTCTACTTCCTGCTTCACAAAGAAGAGCTCATATCTATTTGATAAGATACGTTTAAGGTACTTAGGAGAAAAAGGAGGAGGAAGTGGCTTCAGTGTTTATGGCTTTTAAAAGAAGAAAACAATACTCCTTATAATGGGTGATTCTGCTTTGTCTTTTTAAAAGCCACTTCTGTTCTATCTGTATCTGTTTCTTAATAATTGTACTCATGCAGAATACAAAACCATTAGCTCAAAGACATAAATAATGTCATATAGATTTTTTTTTTATGTGCACATACTCATATCCAAACTTATGCCCATGTGCTAAATAAATATTTTACACCTGACTGTACTGAACAATTGGTAATGAATTATGAAGTTGTTATTAAATTTACATTGTTGAAGCACATTTTGCTTGTATTAGTCAGAGCTTCATCCAAGTATACTGTAAAATATTTCCCATACTGTCTACACCACTATATCAAATTCATAAAAAAAAGAAGCATTCTTATTTCATGCATAGGCCAGCTAAATTTTATAATCAAGACAAGTAATCCAATGAAAATAATGTAGTTTGAAAATAAAGTAAAAAATCATTTTGAGTGAGTGCAAGCTTTTTGTCATTAAAAATAGCCATGGTTTTTTTTGCTTTAAAAGAAGTAACCAAAAAGATGAATATGGAAGTTACAACTTAATGAAGCTGTTATGTCTGTTTCTCTGAAGTAATTAATAGAGGTATGCTCTTCTCAGCTACAAGATGTTGCAGAGTTTGTTTCAATCTGAAAATGTTCCAAACTCAACAGATTTCACTTACCTATGTCTATAAAAACTGTATTTATTTTATTCTTGAATATTTCCTGAATTACAGAATTTTACCTTTTGTGGGAAAAGGGGAGTTATCTAAAAAAATGAATAACAACATGTTTTTTCACTCATGTATAAATGAATCTCTATTAAATGTAACTATATGTGTGTAAGATATGTATAATACACACTTTAAAACATGAAGCAAACAAAATGTCTAGCAATTTTCTTTTGAATGCAAGATTCATATTTGCTGACAGCAATACAAAGACTAAATTTTACAGTAATCTGAAAGCATAAATGATTGCAGTTTTCTCTTCTAGTAGACTCACAGGTCATACAGTAATGCAGTCTATAGGTTATAATTTTTTATGTTGTTTCTGCTGGAAGTGTTTTGCTGTTTGATTACTGTGTGAGTAGTGGGGTGTAATTTCTGAATGTCACTGAGTTTGCATAATGTGATTTTGGGCTCCCTCTTCCAAGCCGGTATATATGCCAAACAGCTGTTGAAAATGTTTTGTATGTAGAATGAATTTTTACAGTTTAAACTACTATGATTTGTGGGCTTTCTAACACATTTATGTCTTTCGAAACCTTATGATCATATTTTTAGGGGGTAAAAAACCAAACTAAATTATTGTTCATAATCTCTATTTCGCTGCAGAGACACCAACTGTATTTCCAGAAAATATTAAAGACAAAGAAACACCAACACCAGTTGAAGATATTCAGCTGGAAAGCTCTATTCCTCATACAGATTCTGGAATTGGAGATGAACAGATGCCCAATATTTTGAATGGGACAGACTTGGAGACCAGCACGGGCCCTGATGCTATGAGTGAGCTGTTATCTACTCTGTCTTCGGAAGTGAAAAAATCTCAGGAGAGCTTAACAGAAAGCCCCAGTGAAATTCTGAAACCTGCATCTTCGATATCCAGTATCAGCCAAAGTAAAGGCATCAATGTCAAAGAAATACTGAAAAGCCTTGTGGCAGCCCCTGTTGAAATTGCAGAATGTGGCCCGGATCCAATCCCTTACCCAGATCCTGCACTGAAGAGAGAAGCTCAGGCTATTCTTCCCATGCAGTTTCACTCGTTTGACAGGTATATGGTTGGATTAATTATTTTATATTGACGTAATTCAGAAATTTGAAGATTTTTTTTATTTTTTTTAAAAGGTTGTTCTTCTATGGGTTTGTATTAGACTATGTTATTAACAGCTGCATTACTTCTCCTTTTCTGAATATGGACCATATAGTATAGACAAAAGTTATTCACCTTGTTTTTCTCTGTTAGCAGTGAATAAAACTCTACAAAATACTTGGAAAACAAGCCTGTTGCAAAGAAATATTTTTGCAATAAAATCTTTTTTTTCTTTAAAACAGCATTTTAGTGAGGAGGAGGGGTAATATCTGCTGATATAGAACAGACTGTGCAGAAATTCAGTTGAATATTCTTTCAAAGGCTTAAATCTTAATTGGATCCATCATTGCACTGTTTTCTGGTACTGAAATGCTTTGACCATGGCAAGTTATTTGCATGGTCGTGGTAGAAAACAGTTTCCTTTTAGGTCTTTAAACAACAAAAATGCTCAGAAGTTAGTGCTTAAAACTGAACTGCTAAACATTTTCACAGAGTCCTTTCTTTATCTTTTTGGGGTATAGCTTCTGGGTTTCTAAAGAATATAGTTTTCTTTAAATGTCCAGTCCCTATCGGATATCTTGAACATAGAAATTGTTGTGCAATTGACCTCATCCATTTGGGTTCAAATGTAACTCTTATAAATGTTGATGGTTTTTTTCTCTTAAATAGATGATCCTGCTATCTGATATTGGTGAGTGAGGTAGATCAGTATTTTTTTAATATAACCAACAACTATGAAGGAAAAAAATTGGCAGATTCAGGCAGGTCCAGTAGTTTAGGAAGTGTTGTGTTCTTTTCTCCAACTAGAGAAATGTTATTGAACTGGGGGCATCTTGATAAAACTGCTGATGTTCTTAGCCCACAAGGCCTCAACTGTCTGGTTGCACCTCATGGTGGCATTATTGAATGATACCCATTGTTCAAGCAAATACTCCTCTGTACAGTTTGTTCATAATGTCAAAGTACTTGACCACTTTGGCAATCTTTGGAGGCAAATATGAGTGGTGATGGTGTCACTTTTCCAAATTACAAAATGAAGCAGATTCATATGCTAACACTATAACTTTTTACAGGGGATGAAGCAAAGGTTAGGGGGAAAAAAACTTTGAATAGTGTATTGATACAATATTAGAATTAATTTAAGTATTAATTAAAGCAACATTAATTAAAAAAGCAACATGAATTTTGGCTTGTGGTGATTTCTGAACATTTTGTGTTGCCTACAGTATCCCAATTACCATTGAAAAACTGAAAAAAAGTACGGCATGATTATTTTTCTATACTTGCTCATGTAAATATAATTGGGTTTATCAATAAAAAATAACAGTTAAATAAGATAAGCTGCTTATTTTTTAAAAGCTGCTTATTTTTTAAAAAGTGTTAAAATTTAACACTATGCCTGTGGACTTTATTTCTGTAGGATCTTCTCTTGCTGTAGTTTATGCAGCTTTTGGTACTTCACTGCACGATGTGGTCATCTTTATTGTCCCTAGGGAAAATCATGAGCAATGGAGTGTATTGTTTTGTCAGGTTCTATTTGTTTCAGGTTTTTTAAAATAAACACAGTGTTTCCATATTTATAAGCAAATCTAGGTTAGAGAAATGCATTTTTCACCTTAATCTAAAGATATTCTTAGTCCTTGTAAGGCTAGACTATTTTTTCTTTTTTTGTCTTTTTTTTTTTTTACATTTGGATGTCTGAGTGCCTTGTGAAAAAAGAGTTGAGGTAATAAGTAATTTGTAGAAAAATAACAGTATCTTCATTGTTTTAAAGATATTTCTTTAACCATGATCACTGATTTTATGTGCCAGTAAACGCCATGTAAAGCAAACTTCTGTAAATAGAATTGAAATTGAGAATTCTATTTTAGCATTTAATATGGAGTGTTTTGCTCTGCATGTTCTTCTAATTGTACATTGCTAATATGTCCGTAAGAGTCATTGTGTAATAGGTACAGTGTATTCTTCCTTAGAATTTGTGCAGCCATAAACAAAACGTAAAAGCAGAAAAAGTGTCCAACATGTTCTGTCAAATGGAACTTGTGTGCAGTTAATGTATGCAGCAGTTCAAGTACTATCGAATGTAAATGATGAAGTGATATTGATGAAAGGAGGGGATTGAGGTCTCGGGGGGCGCTGATGACGGATTGAACAGAAGCGGCCTTGCACCACACGTAACTCAAGTCTGTCGTCTTCACCACTCAAAGCCGTAATGGGAGGTGGCAGTCTGAAATGAGTTGCCACGGCAAAGAGTATTATTTTTGAAATGCTTTCACACAAATCACTAGGCCCTGCATACAACTTAGTTTCATGCTTTAATGTCATCAGGAGGCACAAATTGGTGTGTCTAATTGTTTGCCACCTGCCAGCAAAATGAGCTGCCAGGCAGCCAGACGGGTTTGATTGTCTGTCAGCTCTTCAATAGATTGAGAGTGACAACATCAAAAATTTCACTTCGAACTCTGAAGCTTTGAGCAGCTTTTCAGAGACCTCTTCCCCACAAGTGCTTCTGGACAACTGCATTTTTCAATTACTTTTCAATATATTGCTGCCTTCTGTCTCATCTGTCTTAAGGTAGCTGTAATTACATTATGAGCTATATAAACAGATTTCTGGGACATTGGAGCCTGGATCCTCAAAGTTATGACATGTCTTTTAACGTCAGACTGAATTCCTTGAAAATGGCATCCAGGTTGACATTTTCAGAAGCAAACATGAAGCGTTTTTTCACCCAGATTTGCTACTAATGGAGCATAACTCACCAATAATTCCTTTTTGCCTTCTCATCTTTTGTCTGACAAAAATCAGGCTCTGTCATTGCTTTTTAGGATTTGGGGATTTCTTGTTTATCTTTTTTTTTTTTTTGGCAATTTGCATTTGTCCCACTAGATGCAGCCTAGACCATTATGGTTTATGAATTTATTTGTGATTCTACCCAGTGCTGTATTCCGAAGCTTACACTTGTTCATCTCTATTTTTTTCTAATAGAGATTTTTTAGATGGGTGCTATCATTGAAATTGAGAGTGCATTGCCACCTCAGCTTTTTGTTTAGAAAAAAAATCATCCTAAATTTATGAATAGGTTCAAATCAACCAAAAATGGGTATATTAACCCTCAATTTATTTTCCTCAAGATATAATCATAATCCCCATGTCCATCACTTAGAAATCTGTACAAAACTCTTATCACCTGTGTAATGTGTGTCTTTCCATATTCATATTCATATTCATGGAGTTGTAGGTATATCTGACCTGAAGTTGATGCGAAATCAGCATCTCTTTACTCTCTAGTATATAACTCACTGGGTATACAGATGAAAATTGTACTAGATTTTTCTCTTGATTTTTTACCTCAATAGGCCTCTGTAAAATCACTATAAAAACTGTATTGACTTTTACAGGACTGATTGCTGCTTTTTAGCCTTTACTTTTATTTTTTTTTGCGTCATATATACAAGATTAGATTCCTCACTCATACTTGTCTAAGCCTCATATTGATTGCTTCTTTGGGTTCTTTAGGTTTGATCATGTTTCTGACATTTACTTCACTTACATTCTATTCACTTTCTTCAAACTTAATAAATTTCCAATATTTCCAATTTGTCTATTCAGCTAAGACCAGTCATCTTTGTTGATAATTAGCTTTTTTATCTTTTACAGTTTACTTTGTTTCTCGTCAATATTTTAGATCATTTTAGATGCTTCAGCTAATTTATCCTGAATGCAAAGGAGGGAATTTCCTTGGGAGTACCTCACTCTTCTGCTTGATCTAAGATTGAGGATCCAAGAACTTCCAATCCTTGTCCTAAAACTACACCTGAGATGATTCGCTTTCTTCTATTTAGAAATAAGCAATTTTTAGTAGATTAGGATCATTTCATGTACTTTAAAATTTGGATGTTTTAATAAATGTATGGTATCAAATAATTGAAAGAACTCATAATAAATAGAGATTCAACACTAAGGTTTCATTTGCATAAGTCTCAAAGATTATGTCCTTCTGTGAGCTTTCCCTATCTCTTCAGTATACTTCCCATTTTTTTAATCCAGTTTTTCTTCTCCATGGCTGCTGCCTCTGAGTTACATCTTTCTTCCTAGATTTCAGATTAATCTTATCTTAGTGCAGTCAGCCTAATAAAAGGTTGTCTAAAGTAAGATTCAAAATGTGTTGTTAGTATGTACTAACAGTGACATGTTACAGACTCAGAACACAATCTAGGGTTGAATTCAGAAAGAACAGAGGGTACAGCAGTATACATGTTTCATAAAGGACTGGACATCTACAGAGATATGGAGAATATAAGTAACTTTCAGAGAAGAAATATTAAGCTTTCTTTTCAGAGCTTAAATGAAGCTAACGGTAGGAACAAGCTAGCATGTAATAAAGAAGAAAAATTGTCAGCCATTTTCTTTTGTGATTTCTTCTCAAACATCTGACAGAAGTTGCTGTTTGACACGGAGTAATTCTGTGAAAACCTTGCCTGAAATCTGTGCTGCTTTTTTGAAGAACACTTCTTGAAAAATCCTCATGCTTTCTGCTGCTATGAGGGAGGAGAGGAGGAGCAAGAAATATTAATTCAGACTTAAGAGATTTCACATATCCCACAAGAGAGTAAAGTGATCCTAATTTAATTGCTGCCGCTCAGATAGGTAGCACAAGACATCCAGTATTGAAGGCTTATCTCTGACCTTTAGGTTGACCAGAGTTATTAGGTTGGAAAGCCTTTAAATTTTAAAATGGAGAAGAGATACAAAATGTGAATCACAGAGAAAGAGGGAAAATATAGCACTGCATAACCTGATTTGTCTGTCATCAGCACTGGGTAACTAAATATTTAAGTAAAGTCAATTTGAGAAAGTATTTTATTTTTAATTTCCATTTTCTCTTTTTGCAGTTCAATGCATTAATGGCATTATTTTCCATCTACTTATTTCATGCAAATTTCTAAAACCCAGAAGAATCCTGTAGCTATTTGCTGATGTTATTTAATGAACCAGCAATGCATAAGTGGTATGTGAGTTGAATCAACAACACTCACCTTGAGCATGATATGAATTACGATAACTTCAGGCTTAGGTTTAAAATTGGTAAAGGACACTCATGGAGTAACAGAACAGTGATTAGTAGTCACATTTATATTTAGAGTTTTAAACCACCCAATTAACAAAGAAATGAAATCAGTTGCTACAGACAATTGCTACTAAATTTTTGCTGCCTAAATCATTGGGGATCATTTGAGTCCATGATGGTGGGATTCGGACAATTGCAGACCAGTTTGGAACATTTAGGAAGTCTGAAATACATTGTAGTAAAGAAGACCTAAAATTAAATGATAGAAGTGTATGTATTCTTTTCTTCCAGTCTGTAGATTTCTGTTCCTCCATGATAGAAAAATCTAAATGCCTGACATGTAAGGCATCTATCACAGTAAATTCATTCCTCAAATCATATTATGCTCAAGTAAATAGCCATACTTTTTTCATAAGTCTGTTTTGGTTTGATTTGCCTGTTTTTACTGTATGTGCTGTTTGAGTGGTTTAATTCATTAAAAGGCTTTTTTTTACTTGAAAGCAGTCAGTCATCCTCTTTCACCTGTCTTATTCTGCTGTCGCTATGATTGTTTTGCACATTTTTGACCACTCTGTTCTATTGTTCAAATAGTTTTTCTGTCTGCTTTATCTGAATGTCATTCTCTATTCACTTGCTGCATTTTGTTTTATCAGTAGGAATGAGACATTTTGTCAAGGTCACCATGTATGACATGTCAGAAAGCTACATTTTCTTTCAATCTGGGATGATAATGTCTCACTGATTTTCCCTATTCTTATGGTAGAGAGGTTTCTCTTGATATTTCTTGGTAGTTTGTAATTTAATAGCACCTGGCCTGTCTTAACATGGTGATTTAGACATATGAAATAATGCCAACTGTGTGTAGAATGTTAGTATCTGTGGGATATGGGAAGGATTGTCCTTCTTGTTCTGGAAGCTTATTTTCAGTCCTAAGCTACACTCATAAGAAAAGAATCTTTGCATTTATAGCAGGCCAGTACATTTGGGGGTTGGACTAGATGACTTTTAAAGGTCCCTTCCAACTGAAATTGTCCTATGATTCTAATACATCTGAGAAGTAAAGCTGGCATATGTGGTCCTTGCTATGCAAAGTTAGATGATCTTTTGCACACTCTGGAAGACCACTGAATTGTCTGAAGGTAAGGAGGAAGATCTTGAATTTATCTTCATCTTTAGAAAAGTAACAGGAAAGTAAGAAATACTTCTTCAGTGATTGTATTGACAATTTAGCAGATACCAATACCAGACCTTATATGAGGGAAAAATTGTTTTTCTTAAAATAAAACCCAAACCAAAAGAGATGTCATCCACTCACACTGTCTCACGTTTTCAAACACTAGAATGGGCATGTGTCTAAAGAATCTGTCCAGCATTTCAGGCATCCTTCCTGCTTGCATCCAGATGGGAGGTCCAATGGCATGGAGAGCTTTCATAGGATGAAATCTATAAAGTCTTTCTCACATCTCCTGGGTTCTTCATATGTCAGCAACTCTTTCCAACTTTTGGATATGCCTTTGGTTTTTTCCCCCTTATGGACCAGCCAACAGTCTCTCTGTCCTTCTCAAGCTCTTCAAGTCATTGTTCTTCACCGGTTTTGTCTGCAAGGTCGGGTTATCTTATGAAGCTACTTGCTTTCCTGTGGTCTTGCTGACCTGATAACCATGTGCCATTAGCATAGGCCAGTCAAAGATGCCTTTTCATGCCGTGTCTTTTGTTCTTGTGCCTCAACACCCAGATATTCCCATTCCTTTTTCGTTCACACCAGTCTTAGCCTTTCTATTGCAATTCTTAACAAAGGTGGTAGGTAAGGACAGTAGTTTCCTTTTGAAATTAATATATTTGGGAAATGCTCCCACTTAAGATACAAGTCCTAATGTCTTCTTGTGTTTCTATGGCACTACAGGGACTCTGCTCTTGAGTACTCATTCCGTATTCATGAATAAACCAAACTCAAATATTTGATTGAAGTATTAATTGAGCTAGAGATCTTTGTATGTGGATTGGAACTAATTTTAGGAAATTTCATGGCGTTACGGAGCAGATTTATCTAACCCCTGTAGACACAGCTTTGTTCAGCTGTAGCTGCTGCTATGTAAACATTTCATATCAGTAACGATTGTAAGAGATTATTAACTACAGACAAAAGCAATTATTTTAGAGTCACTCATCTTAATCAATAGCTATTGCGTTGTTCAAATTCATCTTCTTCTAATTTAAATTGAATGACACAAAAAACCATCAATAAGCCTAGAATTACCTTTCTAAAAGTACATGCTGCAAGGTAGGGGTAATGATATTGTTCAGAATGCAGAGACATCAACTGGCATTGTAACCCATCTAAAAAGAGTGAGAAAAAAATGCTTATGGATGGTTTTGTACACTATCATCACCGGTCTTTAAAATTCGGGAAGACTGAAAATTCAGACCTATAGGAACAAGGTACATTACTGTAAAACATTGTGCCACACCTTTTGATTCATCATATGCCATCCTATTTACACAGAAGTGTTACAAAATAATTACCAAAGAAAGTTCTTGAGCAAAATGTGGCCTTATTACCCTAAGTAATTTCCTTTTGCGGTTCTTTTTTTATCACAATGATTAATTTTAATGAAGAGTGTATCTGCTTAAATAGAAAACATGTAAATAATGATGAAAATATACTGTTCAAAATTATCCAAATATGATTTATCTCATTTTTGTTTTTCACTCACATTTTCTACCAAAATAGACTTTTTAGGAGCAGGGTTTCTTATAGATAAAAAGAAATATTAAATAGAAAAATGTCAATATGGTTGTATGCACTATGGCAGCTGTCCAATATTGAAAAAATATTGTCTCCTAGGAGCAATTCCTTTAGTTTTCAAACTTTAAAAAAAAAAAGTATTTTTTAACTTCACTAGGTGAAAAAGTGTTTGTTTGAATGTGGTATTTTCTACTTATATTTGATATTAGGTTGTGTTCTTTTCTGTGAAAGCCCTCTTCTCTTCTTAAAAGTTTCAAATTCTCAAGACTGCTTTTTAAACAATAATATCAATATTATGAAAGCAAATATTCATTGTGTTGCATTTTTGCTAATCAATGTGCTTCATGTGCTATTGATCTAGATAAGTATAAAGGTTTTCCAGAAGTCTGAGTCCAAAACTATGTTTGTTAGTCAGCTATGTTTGGAAGACTGATATGTTCACGGTACTGAAGAATAAACTGCTGTATTCCAATGTTCTGATGATTAACAAAAAAAATTTTATCTTAGGTAACTTCAGTAAGATCAACAAATTAACATACTCATTAAGACTGCATGCATATAGGCTGCTAGACTGCTGACATAATTTCCGACAGTTAACATTTTCTTTGCAAATCTAGAACACAGGTGATAGTGTTCTCAACATATCATTGAAGAGGTGGGGTGTTTCCATTTTGTGGGTAAAGACAAATTAAGTTTCTCAGAATCGCCTGAAGCTGCAAAGGATAGGAGTATGATTTTAGGGCCTGTGAACTTAGTTTTACCCTATTTCAGAAAGGTTCAGAAAATTTACAGTACTATGTATTCCTCAGCAACAGAATTATACAGAAGTCTAAACCCATCAAAATCAAAAATTCTTCCTGGCTCTGTTGTGCAATTTTAATAATCTGCTGTTTCTTTTTCCATAGGAGTGTGGTTGTACCAGTAAAGAAACCCCCTCCAGGTAGTCTGGCTGTTACCACTGTTGGAACTGCCACAGCTGGGAGCGGACTGCCACCGGGTAGTACACCTAATATATTTGCTGCAACAGGAGCTACACCAAAAAGTATGATTAATACAACAGGTATTGTCCTTAAATATTTTTGTGACCCTCATTTTTATTTGTTTGGGTTTTTTTGTTACCTTTAGTGGTGTTTTGTTTTTTAATCATCTTTTTGTTGCTGTTTTTGTAGTTCAGAAATAAAACCTGGAAAGATTAAATCTTGACCTTTATTAGAGACAGTGTTTTCTCTTGGTCTATGTTTATAATCATTGATAGTGCACATTGAGCTTGCACACCCTTAAATAAGTTAATGCATAGCCTCAGTATTTTTTTGTAAGTGTAGATTAGCAGGTAAACGAGCTAACTTTTCTCGCTCTCTACAAAAGAGGATCTCTATGTGATACATACCAATTAATCCCTCCTTATTTATCAAAGAAAGAAAAGACAACTTGCTACTTAATAAATATATCGTAGATTGTGGAGGTGACTATTTTGGACAATTGCTATTTGTCAATTAAAATTATGCCATGATTTTTGGAAAGTTTTTCAGTAAAAAACTACTTAATTTAACTGTACTCATGTCTTAGCAATAGTTGTTTATTGTGATCTATAGAAGGAGGACTAGACGTTCTTTTTAATTATTTATAATAGTAATAATGGGATTATCTATCATGAAGGAGCCTGTTGACCATGGAGAAATGTTTCCATTGAGAAATTAATCCTTACAAAGAGCAGCTGATATTTACTTAAAATCCTTTGAAATGTCTGGCTATGGTCTGTTTTCTTTCTAAAATAAGCAAAAGCACTTGAGAGAAGAGCTCTCTTCAAGGATATCACAAGAGTTGAGATATTTGAAAATCTCCCTGGGTTTGCAGCAAATAGAGGGGGAAGCTTTTGGCATCCTTCTGCTATGTGGAGTAATATGAAGACACTCTTTTTTTTTTCTTTCCTTTTGCAGATTGCCTTTAATACCTAGTAATAGAACTTTGATTTTTCTAAGGATAAAAAAATCTTTAAATCTAATTATCCTGAGGCAGATGCAAGGAATGAATGCTCTGAATAATGTTATCATTTCTATGAACAGTTGCATTTGTGTAGACAATTCTGTTAATCTTGAACGGATTTCCTTTTAGGTATTCTTATGTCATGAAAAAAATATCCTATACTGGAAACCCTATTTTCCAAATGATATTGATTAGTAGTAAGCTTTTCAGTCTTCTCACTGATGAAAGATCTGAACTGTTTTGGCTGGAGTATAGTAGTTCTTGTTTGTAAGTAATTGCATTTTAAAATCAGTCATTTTCCCAATACTTTTCTTAGTAGAGGACAGTATTGCAGATGCCATTGTACATTGACTGTGGATTAAAGGCTGCTTATTTTGGTAGATCTTATAGTTTGGGTTTTTTTAAATGCAATTGGTTTTGATTCCTAATCTATGGATTATCTTGATTAAAGGAAAAGTATTGATTCAGTAGAATTTCAGCAAGTATCAGATTTAATTAGAACTATATGTGTACTGAATTTCTTTAATAAAGGATTTTATGAAGATTTGAATTTTTGAAGATTTGAATTTTATATTATGATTTTACAAATGCTAAACACATTAATGACAGTTAGTAAAAGTATTGTCACACTGAAAACATTCAAATATCTATTAGATTAAAGTGATCATTTTGCCCTTTTTAATTAAGGCATACCTATGGTAGTTAAAACAGTGAATCATGTATGTCAGGTTTTGAGATATAAGATAAAGTATCCAGATACTTTCTGGTTTATATCCTTGTAGTCTATGAAATTTTTATTTTTTTTTTCTACGGTAAAGAAACAGAATGCATTTTTTTAGAAACACTAGATGTCCTCCCAAACCTATTTACAGTTGTTTTTACAGTATGTCACAGATATGCTAGAAATTCAGTTATATCTATGAGGCATTTTCTGTGTTGGACTTGTGTGAAAGGTGTTTTTTTCAGTTATTCATGGATTGCAATTGGTGTTTACATTCCACCTGCCATCGCTGTCATAGTCAATGTCACTGTCACAATTTAATGAGATGTATGTTACTGAAGTCCTTTAGTTCTTTGAATGTATCTTTGGGGAGATAGGTTTTCTTCCTTCATCTCTTTATGTAAGAAACTGGCTTTATAGGTTTTAGATTGGATTTCTGTAATTCGTATCCTGATTCTCACTTCTATGTTAATCCACTAGTTCCAGCTCTGTTTGACCTTCTCTTCTGGAAGCCTAGCTGGTTAAACAACTTAGCAACTGCATTTTTAAACATCCTTAATGAAGAAAATTTTACTTTGGAAGAAAAAGGGAAGAAGCAATAAAAATATGTATTGTCAATGCATATATGAATATAAATATGTAAATAATATAAATATACACATGGACACACACACACACACACACACATATATATATGAAACCTTAATCTTTTTTAAGCTATCCTATTCCCAGTTAAGTTGCTGTGATTCTCAGGCTGGGAGAGATAGCCTACCTTATATTTTTGTGTTTCTTTCTCAGTATGTTTGGGTACATTTACAATTTGTATTTAGTCCAAGTCAGAACACCCAGTGTAAACCACAATCCATCTCCCACTCCCATTATTAAAACAACAGCCTAAATCAGTTCCTTATCTAAATCCGGAATTTCACCAGCTACTCCAGTGTCAGCAAGCCCAGCAAATCCTGCTGCATTTTGAAACTCTTTTGAATGTAAATGTTCTTAAATGAGCCAGTCAAAATTCTAATCTTTAATTATTTTGTCATTAAAAATTATCTAAAGGAAAATAAAAAAAAAATAAAAATCATACCTGCTGCCAGAAAAATTTTCACTATTACCAGCATATGACTTCTCCTTCACTACTGGCTGACTGCTTAAACAGTGAAGAATCTATAAATTCTTTGTAGATCTCTGCAGGAAACTGAAAAAGAATATATACCTGTGTAATGCAAAGGACAGTGTTGTGTCAACTGCTAAAACTGACCAGCAATAAGGACTTAACAATTACAATTTTTTAAAATTGCCAGAATAATGTCATTGATCTCTAAACAGGGGGTATCCGCCCCTCGTTGCTAACTTGGATAAATCTTGTTGCCTGTCAGCCTCATCTCTGGTAGCATTGCAGTCCCTCAGGCTTTGAACTCCAAGTACAAGACTGTTTGTTGCTACCTCTCTTGCAGTGATGTGTTGCAGAAGGACTGTGTAGCAGAACACAGACAGCATTTATCACAGCACTCTCACTGCTCATGGCCACTCTGAGCCTTTGCTGGTTTGCTTCAAAGAGGCTGAACTCATAGTACCGTTTCAGCAAACATGATAGATTGGCATTTAGAGTCTAAGTTTAGCCCTTAGCTCTGACCCAGATCACTTAAAGTATAAATGTATGCTCTGTCTGAATCTTTTTTTTCTGGGCAGCTGTTCACAACCCATTGAAATGATACCACCACTGACTTCCCTACTTTTAAGATCTTAAAATTCTCCTTGACTTGAGGAAGGAAACATAAAAATTGTAATTAGAGTCTTAATACACCTCAGACACTAGTTTCCCCCATTACTCCCTGAAGAGAGATACATTTTCTAACCTCTCTGTCATTTTTTAATTTGTATTTTTTTTTCTGCCTATAGTTGCAACTGGGCAGTCAAGTGTGTATAGACAAATATTTTCAAAAAAAAAAAAATTAAAATTCTGTTCTCCACTCAAGCTCATCTTAAGTATACCTTTATTTTAGAAAGATCTTGCTTTACAGGATGATGTAAAAATGTTTTCAACTTTGGAAAGTAATTTGGGAATAATGAAAATGAGGTAAGGATTTATTTTGCCTGATTTTCAATAGCTTTTTAAGTTTATTATTTTTATAGTAGCTAAATAAGGTATTAATTAGTATGATAATTATATGGGATGGTTTTCATTATTTTATAGTAAATAACAATACTTCCTTACTTAGAAGTAGATTAATAATACAAGGACTATATTAAAGCCTCTAAAAGTTTTGTTTCTTTAGACTGAATTAAGATCTGTGTTTTTTGGGGGACAGGTGCAGTAGACTCAGGATCTTCTTCTTCCTCTTCGTCATCCAGCTTTGTGAATGGTGCTACCAGCAAAAATCTCCCAGCTGTCCAAACTGTTGCTCCAATGCCAGAGGATTCAGCTGAAAATATGAGGTACACAAGAGTCTAACTTATTCAAACTGTACCAGACACTAAAACTTCATTAAAAGTATTTTTCCAGTTAACTGGCTTTTTACTTTGTACGGTGATGATAGTATGAATTGGAACATGTGAGCACAATTTGATAATGGAGTACTAGCAATTGGAAAGAGAGACTCAACCTCTTCTGATCAAGTGAAAGCCTTAGTTAAACTGGAGAGGACAAAACCAGACCTGTGTTTGTGCAGCTAACTAAATGATGCACCAAATCTGAGTTGGTTTGGCAAGAGACTCATGCCGTGGGCTAGCTGATACCTCTCTTACACTGACTGGCAGCCAGGAAAATACCTTCTGAAATTCCTACTAATTTCTGGTATAATAGGTTATTGCTGTCTACAAGTATTCAGTTTTGCTGCAGCACACTCCAAAGACAAATTTTTTACCTTTTCAAAGGGCACACATGTCTGCCCTATAAAGCTGACACAGGATATACTAAGAAGTGGCCGAGTGTCCCTTAGTTGGCTGGCCACTGCAAGGTATGTTTTTAAGAATTTTGGTGTGGAGAGAACAAACTAGCTGTTTATTAGCTGTTTGTGAGGTAACAAGCTTAGAAGCTCATGAACAAGAGATTTCATTCCCAAATGAACTAGAAATTAAATAAACCTAAATCAAGGGTCCTGTGTAACCCATAAAAAAATATCAGTGCTTCAGTGATTTAAAACACAGTGACAAAAAATGCCTTTTTTTTTGCTGGTCCTATCTGAAGGGTCAGGTGAGTAGTGCAGGTGGAATCACATCAATGGGTGCAGACACAAGTTTAAGGCAGAAGGACTGTTGGCTCCACTGCAAAAGAATGCAAATGTTCAAGGAGAGAATGACCATTTGTATGATGTTATTTATTGCTTGACAGTTTTATGAGGCAAGTTAATAAAATTGTGGTGTAATTAAACCACTCCTTTTTGCTTCTTGTCTTCATATGCTAGGACAATGCTTCTCTGAGGGTGAAATCTTTTATAAAATTCAGATATGCATATTAAAATTAAATTGGTAAAATTAAATAGGTGTGTTAAATTTCAGTTGGATCATTAATTAGTTTCTTTTTCAGTTATTTTAAACAATGAAATATTCTTGTTTTTTCACAGACATTTTTAAAGTTTTTGTCCTGGAATCAAAGAAAAACTTGAGTTGCACAATCTGGAACACAAATTTTGAATTCAGAATTTGAACGCAGAAGTAGTTGTACTCTGAGTAGTAACTTAAATTAGTGACTGACATGTAAATAACTTAAAATCTAATCAACCCAAGGAATGTCTTTGGGTTTATTTTCCTTTCCTCTGACCACTCCCCCAGCCCCACCCCTTCTGCCTAAGAAACAACCTTTATTTTGATAATATATTATTTTTTCTAATGTCATATGAATTCATTGTGCCTTAGCTTTTATGAGATTAAAAGTCAGACTTGTTTGTGGGGACAGAGAGCATGAAGTTAAAGCTAACTTATCTAAGCCTTCCTTTATAGCAATTGCATAAGAACAGAGCTGATTATGGCTGTAGACTGAGCAAAGCGAGGAGGAGAATGAGGTTGGATTTTAGTCTTGGTTTGGAGATAGAGGTTTGGCTTGGAAGGAGGTTGGGAAGGTAGCATGCTTGCGACTGGGACAGTTTATGCCCTCACCTCTCTTTGTACTTCCTTGTGATCAATTCAAGGAGAGGGTTGTAAGGAGTCTTTTTGCTCACAGTTTTAAGAGTGCTTCTTTTAATCTGATGTTGCTACTGTGGTCTTTCAATCTTTTCTGACAAAGTTTATCACCTTTCTATGTATAAATTATATTGTTTATATATATAAATTATGAATGTATATTATATATATTATACATAAAATATAATAATGTATATAATATATATTATATATATTTATATATAGCTTATTTTCAGATGTGTGTTGCCTTGAATCTGCAAATTAAATAATCTTGAGTTTGGAAGCTATCAAGAGTTTATTTGCCTTGAATGTCCAGAAATGGAGAGGAAAAACCAAAATATTATTTCTTTACAGAAACCCCTTAAAATCTCTTAGTTCATACATGAAATATAGTTACATTCATCTCCATAGGGATTCCCTTATGATTGCAGTATACTTTATAAGGTATAATAAAAGTTAGAAATGGCTGTAGAATCAGCTGAGTCTCACTCCTTTGTATGTATGAGTACAGGAAAAGTAGTGGATGGGCCACCTGCTTCCCTGAAAAATTTTTTTGTATATCTGGGTAAATTATTTCTTCATTTTTGCTTGTTCTTTTTGGAACTGTAGGACCAGAACTCTAGTCAGTTTCCAACATGTAAATGCACCAAGGAAAAGTGATTTTTTCTTCTTTCTCTATTTAAATATCAATTTCTGTCCTTTGATATGCATTTTTCAAAAGTACTAACCTTTGATCTCATTTTTTCACAGAATATTATTCCAAATTGACCATTAATGTGCCCATTGTAAACAAGATCCATCAGCTGCCCATTTGCTAATAAGGTGTTTATTAGTAGCTCATCCAAGGTGTTGATTAATAGCATATCCACACCTCCAATATTACTTGATTCTTAAATACAAATTGATATTAATTTAAAAACATTGGAATTTGAATTTTTTTCAGCTTTGTCACTAGAGGCTTTACCACAGTGAAATTTACTTCAAATAGTCTTTTAAAACAAAGGCTGGTGATATGAATCTATCCTTTAGGGTATTAGAAAATCAATATCTGAATTTCAAATCAAACCGCAGCACACTAAAAGAAAATAAGCTATAGGAGTTCAGTAAAGTAATTTTTTGCTAATGAAGGAAAACTTCCAATGTGTTTATAATGTCAGCTTTCTTTTTAAATGTAGGGATCTTCACGTGATCTGAATTAAAATGTCTACATTTATTTAGTGTTTATAGATAGTAGATAAAGTATAAAATTTACATGTCAGTGATCATTCTCTTAGATTCTGTCAATAAATGTTACTTCTTCCTATAACTGCATTTTTAAATGTCAATATTTTGGTGCCATAATGCAAACACAATGAAAACCCAGCAATCTTAAAAAGAACAGCAAAAATTCTTAGTAGACTAGGATATGTATGTAATTTCATTTCCATTTTAAAGTAATAGTTTATTTCTTTAAGATAACACCTCAGGTTTTTAACCTTGGCATAAGAGTTCCAGAGGGCAAAAGTGTTACGCTCTGTCAAGTTTAAAAGGGAAGAAAGACCCTTAAACAGTACAACCCTTAGCACGCTGATGTTCTCATACTTTTTGCTAGGTTTGTATTCCCAGACAAAGAAATATTATTTCTGGTATTTAAGAAGCAAACAGATGTGACAACAAAAGGAGAAATTAAGGACCATACCATGCTTCAAAGAGTCTCATCAGGCAGAGAAATATAAATGCCAAGGCAAAGCGATCATTTTCCCTCAAAGTTGAAGAAAAGTATATTGGTTCTCTTGATATCTGCTAGAATGCTTTCTCAGATACTTCCTTGCAATACTAAATGAACAAAAAACCAAATTGCTTGTGATTGCTTTGGGTGAATAAAAGAGCTCTCTTTTCAAGCTTTCAAATGTATATAAAATTATGAGATGTGGATAAGCTGAGATAGGTGAAATAGACTTAATTTGAATATCTGGCATTCTTCTTGTCATGTTTGAAAATGAGAGTAAAAATTTTACTTGTTCTGGAGTACTCTGCAAATGCTGTAGAATTTATGAGGGTAACACACTGCTGACATGGCATTTCCATTTACTTAAAGCCATTGAAAAACTGTAACGTTTAAACAAATTATGATCATCCTCTTTTCTGAAGAAGCATACAGCAACTTTTAAAAACAGGTATGATTTGAAATAATTTTTTAACTTCTATTATGAAATATTCTTCTAATAATGGTCTCTGTTTTTTCACAGTATCACTGCAAAGCTTGAAAGAGCCTTAGAAAAAGTGGCCCCTCTCCTGCGAGAAATTTTTGTTGATTTTGCCCCTTTCCTGTCCCGAACATTGTTGGGCAGTCATGGACAAGAGCTATTGATTGAAGGTACTGTTTCTGTTATAAGATTATATTATTTTAACTATTAGTCTTCTGATATGAACAATTTTTCAGTTTCACTAGACTTTATGTGACTATTTTTGATAAATAATCGGTTCTTAATATGTTGTGATTTCAATTCCTTGCATTTCATTTCATTCAAAGAAATTAAAAGTGATAATTTTGGAACCCCTTTTTCCTTGAGATTGCTCTGTAAAGACACATCCTGTAGCTTAGAATGCAAAAACCTCTCTATAGTTTGCCTTTCCCTCTTCAGAATAATTCAGTGCTTCAGCCTGACTTTGAGAAAATAGTGAAAAATACAATTTAAAAGTATAATCAATTCCATTAGGAGAAAGTAAAAGGAAGACCCTGCTCCAACATTATTGATGAATGTATCTGTATTTGGTAGGTATGTTAGTTCCTGAGGTAGGTTTGTTTCACACAGACAGAGAAAGAGTTGTCCCTAGAGGGGAATAAAAAGTGAAGACTTTTAAAGAAAAGTATCCTTGAACACCTTCAAGGATTTTTTAGGGCTTTTATTTGTTGTCTTTAATACTTCATAGTTAGAAAATTTGCCTCATAAATGAAGCAGCAAGTAATGCAGAAATTATGCAGAAAGTCCAAATATGGAAATCTCATGCAGAAAGTAATGAATCACTACTAATGCAGTTAAAACAGTGAAGGCGGAATTTGAATGAGCATGCACTGCTCCCATATTGTATATTCAGAGGAATATATTCTGCCAAGTAAACATTTTCCTTCCAGGATTGTTCTTACACACAGTAGTGCTGTTCATTGAGAGAAAAAGTCTCATTAAGGCAAGGTTTATAATATGTGAAGATCTACACAGAAGAAAATAAAGCTTTGTGTTCAAATTCCAAAACCCTTTCTGTTATTCATGTTTTATGTAAACATTAGTGTACAGTTTTTCTATGGACTCAGTTATTATTCCTCACAATGTTGGCCCTTGTTACTAGAAATATTTACATCTTGTAACTGAAATCTTCTAAAGAGCCATTTCTTTTTTTGTCTTCTTATTGTTTAATAATACTATTATTTAATAATACCAAGGAATGGTGTAGTAATTCACAGAAGTTTCAGGTATTTTATACTGTTAATTTTATAGCTGTGAGTAAGTTGCACTTCTCACTTAATGACACCTGAAGTTAATGGTCTGAGATGCACATTGGGATGACTGTAAGATATTTGATGGATTACATTCTGAAATCTCTTTGTGAAGTTGGTTGCATTATCCTTGCATTATCCTTTTCCATTTGGCAATTGATTAATGGTACTATAGTTTTTATACAATACAACTAAAATTGTCTTGGTCTCACCTGAGTTTATTTATAGATTAAAAAAATTCTTCATCAGTGCTGTTCTAATTTTGTCTTTTGGTCAGATTCATAGCATAAACAAGGCTACAACAGTTCCCAGGATATAACAAAGAATGAAAAGCTAGAGGCCACAGGAACCTCACAACTGTACAGCAGTAATTTATCTCACTGCCTATCCAGAGAATACATGTTACGTTGGCTGTAGCATGCTTCTGATAACCACTTGGAGTGCCATTCCAGATTTTGCCCCATCTATGACTCAGCCTCCCAGTTCGGTCTCAGAAAACACTGTTTACACACCAAACACCAAGTTCCAAAACAAGTAGTGTCCTCTGCATCACGTTTCCTTAATGTTATATCTAACCTTCTTTTCAATCATCTCTCTCATTCCTTATTTGTAAAAACTAGTCCTTTCTTCCAAGATATTGAAATAATAATCTGTATAGAAAAAAATGTAAGCACATCATAGATTTTTACATTGTAGGACTTGAATTTCTGTTTACTCCCTATGAAATAGTTTTGCTTTTTTACTTTGTAGCAAAGAATTCGTAGAGATGCTTTTTTAGTCATTGTATACTTCTCAAATTTTCTTTCTTCATTGCCTGTATGAGACCCTTGATCTCAACTGAACTGAATTTAAAAGAGAATTCTAAATTCTCTCCTAGTCTGATACCTGATTTACTTTGAGAAATTTCCTGTCATTGCTTACTGAAAGCCAATGGTGGTCCTTGAAGTACTTGAAAGTGCTCTCCAGGTAATGACTCTACAAAACAGGTTTTAAGTGACGTTATTCAAAATACGTGAGTACATTGAAATCCTGTGGGGCTTTGATAATTGAAATTTGGGTTTTTTTACTGGCAAGCAGTAATTAGCGTGACAGTTTTATATGAAATAGTTTAATTTGTTGCTTTATATGTAAAGATTTTAGTTATAACAGTCAAAAAGGAGCAAATAAACTTTATATAATTAAGTCTTAAGGCAGTGTCTGTTTTTCAAATTGATCACTATTAGAAAAGTAACTATCTGTTGTGTTCTCTAAAGCATGTCCTTTTTTTCTGATTATTCAAGCTCGACACATAGTAATACCTTCCCTCCTTTGCTGTTTTTCAAAACCTCCTTATGGTATGCAGTCTTTCCTATCAGATTTTGTTAAAATCTGAACACTGTCAGGCATCCTCAATGGCATGTGCTTTTTCCTGAAGCCCTCTCTAGTACTCTTGTGCATGTGTGTGTAAGAAATACTAAATAATTTTCAGAATTGGTAAGAATATCCACACTTTTGTAGCTGAGGTTTTGCACACTGGAGAGCACAAAATAAAATGGAACAGAGAAAAAAATTAATTTTAATTCTTCTAAAACAGGTTAATTATGCAAACTTTCCAGAATATCTGATGCTTTAAGATAGGTATTGTTAATATATTTTTGGAAATGTGCGTATAACTTAGTTATGATTTCACCTTTTTGTAGTAGTTCAGCTGCGTCAAACTTTTGGTGAAAAATCTTGCAGTCATATCCTGCCACTTCATCTTCCTTTACCTTATATCATTATTCTATACCATGGAAGACTGGCTGATTTATTGTTTGAGTAAATTATACTTAATATCTAAGTGGCTTCTTAAGCTTTGATTAGAATTGAAATGAATAGGCTGCAATGATCTGGTTAGTCTAGACCAAAAACTAGGAGCACTCATACTCAAAATTGTTAATTTTTCTTGTTTGCTCATGTAAATTCCCAAATTTGACTGGTAGCAGAGGAACCCTATCAAGTAGTAATCTGACATGGCAGAATATATTTATTGATAAATATATAGATGAGGAATCATGTATTTACTTACTAAAATGACTAAATTACTAATTACTAAAATAGTTACTTGCTCCTTTTTCCAAAACCAGTTCTTTCTCCAAATGTGTCACACTCAACTGAATTTCAAGTGTTTCATCAAGTTCTGAGAGTGTTTTTAAAGTGGAAAATATCCTCAATGATGGGTTAAAAAGGACTGATTTGCAATTGAATGCAAATAGCTTCAAACAGAGTGTACCAGAACCAGCCCAACACTGCTGTGGTTCATCAACTGAGGTTCTTTCAATGCCTCAGAGAACAGAAGTTGCAAAGGTTAAAATCGTCCATATAGAAACTAATTGGAAACAAACATGCAATATGTGTAGGTCACATATTTGAGCTTAGCAGTGCTCATTGTGGAGTTCCATTTAACACTTGCACAGATATGTTTTCACTAACTCTGGTTTCCATATGGTCTGCAAATTCCCTCCATGTAAAGTGCATTACAACATTCTAGCTTTTAGGCGAAAATGTTACAGGCAAATGTAATCTGATCTGTAGACTAAAGAAAAGCTATATCCTCTTCTTGTCAAGCACAGATGGGTAAAAATATTTTCACTACAGCTATTCTTGGAGTGTCTTGAACTATAAGAATAGGTCCACGATTGAAACATAGTCACATCGAATGCTTTCCCTTCTCTTTAGTAAAATACCAAACAAACATCACCAATGCTTTTATTTTCCTATATCATTAACTGGGTAGCCAGGTAGCCCTTCTCCAAAAGAGGTCTTACGAATTCTTTGGCTTACATTTGATATGTTTCTAATACACGCACAGTTCAAATCAAATGAAACAGGGAATGGTTTTGCACTGATAGGAGCAGAATCTGTTTCTCCTCATTAACTCACCACATGGCCCTGTGAAAATATTCCGTAGAAGTGATGATGGACTAGCTTTGAATGTTACTTGACAGGAGGCTTCTTGAAACAATTGAAAAATTGCCCAAAACATTCCTTTTGAAACCACGGATAGAACTTGAGTCCTAAATGACACTGCTTTAAAAGACAAGTGTGACATCACTGTAGCATCTACCAATATTGTGAGTAGTTTCTTATTTCCTTGAACAATACTGAGTTTTGCATTAGGAAAACCAGGGCAACCATTTTCCTAAGATACTGTGGTAATCTGGAAATATCCCTTATACTTTCTGGGGAACAATTACTTTTTTGGTGCTTAACATGGCCCTTGGTTTCTCTAAGAAACTTTTCAGAACCTTTGTATTGTGCTAAGGAGCACAGCTGCTATAACGTAGGGAAATGCATGCTTTTGCAGAGCTTTTTTTCTCCTGTACATATGATTCTCTCATTCTTTTATCTCACTCTGCCACATCCAAAATATTTTTGTTTGTGTGTCCAGGCATGCTTTCTTTCAACTAATTAGACTCATGGTAATTACTCTACCAGTCTGCAGAACAGCATGTAGCCAACATTCTGCACAAAAGAAATAAATTAATAAATATTATCAAGTAAGAGGGGAAAGGAATAAATAAATAATGTTATGATTTTAAAATTTGTATTAGCTGGAATTAAGAGCATGCAGATGAAACCTTAAGCTATTCATATTGCTGAAATTTCTATAACCAACTTTTTGATCCTATTTTGCTATTTTTATTAACAGTCTTTATTACTGTGCAGAATTGCTACTGGCAAAACTAAGTCCTTAGATGGAGATATACAAAATGAGAAGCAAAGGCATTCCATTGGAGACATATGTCAAAAAAGCCAGATTTCGACACACTCAGAGGCTGAGTCCAGTTCTTAGGAGCAAAGAACGTAGACTGTACTTGCTGGGTAGGAGCTGATAGACAAAATCACGCAAACAATGTACG